TTCAAAACTCAAGTTGGCCATCGAACGACGCCAATCAGCATGTGAGAATTCTAACGGCGTTTGCGGTTTACAGRAGTATACACTGTACCATAACTTGAGGTTTTCCTAACAAACAAACCACCATGACTGACAATTTGTGGATTATAACTATGAATCTTTAATCTTTCAGCTCCAAAGTAATCCTGAAGTCAGTGAACTTCAAAAGTAAAGAGGGAACGACATTTGATCGACTATTTTAGAAATTGTATAACGCAARGCATGGGGTTGTAGTAAATCAATAGCAAATAAACGACTAATTAAATTAGTTCACTTGTACTGCAATTCTTAGAACAGCAGAATTACGATCAATAGCCCACTTTTGATATTTCGCTTGACCAAACACACACAAAAAAATTGAAGATGAGCCTCATGGGAAACAATGAACACGCACGGAAGAATTGTGAACGAGCATTAAGATTATCCATTGTTTCCCAGGAGCCTCATCTGCAATTCTTTAGTTATTSAAACAAATACACAAAGTAACTATTAGAGACTGCAATGATTAYCAGGAAAGGAGAACTTAGTGAAAAGAGAGATAGAGAGAGAGAGGAATAGAGAAAGAGAGTGAAGGGGCGGATGAGAGATCACATAAGCACGATGATCACAAGCCTTTGATTCATGATAAGGTTTTACAATTTAAGAGAATAAAAGAAACCAGTAAAATTCTATAAAGACAGAGAACGTACCATTACAACAMATAGAACAATAAAGCAAGAAAATAAAAGGCGATTGCTTACCAAATGATTAATCATGGCGTGTGAGAAAAAAACACAAAGTTTAAAGACATGATTTGGAGACATGTGTTAAATGTGGCAAAATTAGCTGACCAGCAGACACACATAACAAAACACACAAGTAACATAAATTAAAAAACTTGTTGAGGAGTGACCTCTACAGAGGGAGAGGGAGGGAGGGATGGGGAGAAAGAGAGAGAAAATATTTACGTCCCCCCTTACACATGAATAATATTATGTGATACTTGTGATGCCCTCCTATCAGACCTGAAAAATTAAGCTACAACCCCCTATCCATTCCTTCAATGCTAGATTACTGTTTAACCATACTGAGATTAGGACTAGTACTTCTTAGCTATCTTACGCTAATGACTGTGGACGGCTTAAAGTTAYCAGAGTGCGGTAGTCTCATGGACTGATGTTCAGACCATGTTGAGAGTCACTTAGTCCACCGTGAACTGCAAATAAAAGCAAGGATAACATTTAAACATGTCAATGCTTTTGCTATAATCATCGCTGTCGCTATTATAAATCACCTGGTTTTCTATCAGCATTGMAGTCATCTTCATTGACCCAGTACCAAATGACGCCTGGGTCGTGCATTCCGGAATATCGAATCCAGTAGGCTGGGTAGTAATTTTTTCAGACCATTGAGAGTGTGATGCGTGTGTAGGTGGTTATAATAGAGAGGTTTCACGGCAAACGGCAAACAGCAGAAAGGATCACGTGACCGGCTTTTTTAGAGTTTAACGTTGCAGTTTCAACGCGAGAGTGGGTTATTTTGAGTTTGCCATAATCRTGAWAARCCGCTCTYTCCAATGACTACCAAAAGCATAAGATCGGGCACAAAATTCTTAAGTCATTGGTTCAGCTCTGCCGTTAGCCGTTTGACGTTAACGTGATGCTTAAACTCTCTAATACCTTCGCCTTCACTCCTTGAATGTATGAATAAGGGCACAACTTGATATCTTGTTTTCATTTACTCAACTAGCACTATTTTGCACACTTTAAAATAAGTGTTTCACGTTTTTACTGGATGCACTCTAGTTACAGACTTACATATTACTGAAARATCGAATACAGTAGTGTATATATTAATACAATAGTTTGGTGTCTACGCTTTAACGGAACACGACACATAATACTATGAAGAATATAGCTCATTTGTAACGCAGAGTAGAAATTAATGCTAACTTAATATTCAAAYGTCACGTTATAATTTTAGTCAAGTCACGCAACCTAAAATTATGAACTGAAAACGTAAAAGATTGCCTTTGTTTGCTCTCACAGAAATTAGTTCGATAAATGATTTTCGATAAATGATCAACTKCCTCGGACATTTGACTTTGATTCGGATTTGACTCGGGCTCGGATTTGACTCGGAGAATGGTTTTATTGTCATTGACTAGTAGGGACTTGATGCAATCATCCAGGAATCAGAACAAAACTTTCAGGTAAGAAGTGTTTCTTATTTAATATCAATGTAGAATTCCGCTCAGAAAGAAGAAGTCCTACCGAGAAATCTACAAAAGTGATCGTGAAATTTAGCGATGATTTCGATGAGACCATTCTGTGTTTACGTATGAACTTGTCTGAATCTTATTTCTAGATAAAAAAATCATGTTATGTGTTGTTATGTGTTTAATTCTAATTTATCAAAATTCATTTGCTACTCTGCTTTATTTTCTTCTTAGTTTTAATAAACGAGTGATTTTTGTTGTTGGGAGCCGAGACTAAGTCTGTTGATTAGAAGAATTGTCACGGCTGACTCGAGAGTACATGTACATGAGTCAACACAAACTGTACCCTCTAAGAGCGTGAAGTCGAGCTAGGTAGTAGCGCATATTATGTAAAATTGAGTAATGACAACATTACTGTTGTCGTAAAAATGTAACTCACTGTRTTCATATTGTCCAGTAGGCATGAGGGGAAACTATGATATATGTTATACCTTGTAAGTCGACCAAGTTGTTCAAAGATCGTTTAGCGTTAACCCTGGGTTAACTAAAAAATATATATGGATTTAATCCTGGATTAAGATAAATCGGGCTCTGAGTTTAGCTTGCTCAGCCCGCCCGCATAAYATTACATGGCCATTATGAATTGGTCATACCTCTTGAACGGAAATCAGAATGCATTTACATGTTATTTCCATTACGAAAGGCCATAGACTATATACCAGCGATCGGACAATTGTTTTGCTATTTATGAAGAATCAAGTTCATGATAAATATGCTAATGTGGCTACTTTCATTAGTAATTATATAACTGACTTGTGTGAGAAAATACCACACTTATTTCATTTGATTTGATGTCCTTTGTTTCTTTGCTTCTGTATATCAAATTTGAATTTCTTAAAAAATTKATTAAAGATGGTAAATTTGCAATACTCTACTATATGATGCTCTGTTTTGCTTGTCATTATATGAAACAAAACTCATATCTACTTGTTAAAGCTTATTTTTAGCTGCAGGCAGGGGGTAATTCAGTTGCTGGGCGCTGGGGAGTTTTCAATAACCCTCTTGCCCCCTCAAAATTTGATATCCTTCAATACTTTCTCTTATGTCATGATTTCTTGGAGAGCTCCCTAGCTGAGTGCCCTGCACCCCTCCCTGAAAAAATGTAATTTT